GCCGCCTCCTCCCCCCGGCCGCCCCGCCAGCACGGCCAGTCTGGGCGTTTTGTCTGTTTGCTGCTGTCCTGCCCCTGGCATCGTGCTGGGCACTGAAAGGCCCACGTCAGGACGGTCCCCTCTGCAGAGGGAGCGCGGCCCAGGAGCATCCTTGGGCACAGCGCAGCTCCGCTGGGTTTGCCCGGGCTTTTCACACCCCAGGAGGAAGCACGACGTGCGGTGTGGACCTGGCAGGACCTGGCCACGCTTTCCACCTCCCACGGACCACAGCGGCGGGTTCCCCTCGCGACGGGGCAGAGAGGCGTGATCGCTGCAGGGTGCCCGGAGCAGCGCTGGCCCGGCCCCGTGCCAGGCTGGAGCAGCACCTGGGGCCTCTCCCAGCCCCTCCATCACATCTGGTCTCCCCGAAGCTCAGCACCCTGCTCCCCAGACCCGTGCACCCCAGGCTTCGCTCCCCGACCCTCCTTTGCACTAGTGCACGAGTGTGAAGCCCCCCTGGCCTGGCCCGTTGCCCCAGCAGCTGCGACCAACCTGGGGCACCACTTCTCCCCATGCAGCACTTCATCCCTTCCCACTCTTCCTCTGTCTCCTCAGTTCGGTTCTCCCGGTGGGAAAGGCCTGAGTGGGGTCACAAGTGGGGCAGATGCCCCGGCCCGGGGGGACACCAGCGCCATGTCCCTCCCCTGCAGCGGGGCCGGGGCTGCCGGGGCTCATGTGCAAAGAGGCTTCTCCCCGGGGTGCCACTGGCCCCCCAGTTCACACCAGTACGGCTCTGGTGCGGCGTGACCTTTCACAGCACACGCTCCGCTGCGGTAAAGTGCACTTTACCTGCGGTTTGCGGGGCAGCGGGCTTGGAGAGGGGAGGACGCAGGCACAGCCTGTTTCCCAGCTTCCAGGAGCCGGGGCTCTCCCCAGACCCCCCCCAGCACGGATCAGCACTTTGGGAGAGGGAGGGGAGCGGGGAGGGAAAGCAGAGCCGAGCAGCCTCCGCTCCGGCGAGGGCACGCTGAGGCTGGTGGAAGCTCGTTGCAAGAGTGAATGTTTTGCCTTGTTTTATGGGCGTGCGTTTGTTTGAGGAGTGAATTTTACACTGACAGTGGCAAGAGCACAAGCAAAGCAAAACCAAACACCAGCTCTGCCCTCCGGGGTCCCCCCCCTCCGCTTTTTGCCCTCCCGCGCTGGGTGTCCGAGCCCCGCCGGCCCCATTTGGGCTTCCCAGGACCTCGCAGACCCTCCAGCTCCATCCCACCCCTATCTCTGCTGCCAGCGCCTCGCTCCGTACCTTGTTTTTCCCCCTCCCCATAAAAGCAGGGAGAACGATCGCTACCTCTGTCTCGCAAGGACTTGCCAGTAAGCGTGGGATCCCCGGGGGCTCCCCCGTCAGCGCAACGCTCAGCGGGGCAGCGGCAGAGCGAAACAGAGCAGGGCAGCCCACCCTTCCTTCCCCTCCACTCACCAGCCACGTCTCTGTGCCACGAGGATATTTATTGAATTAATTTATTGAGAAATGTTATTATTTATTTGCTGTGTTGTGCACTTTCGGGAAAGGAGAACTAGAAAGCAAACAAACAAAAAAATAATGACCACGGCGGAAAACCAACCAACCCACCCTCGTACGCGGTGTGCCCCAGCGTGTGTTTGTCTTGGCTGTTCAGACTGTGCAAGGATTTATTATTTACGAGTTCACGAGGAAGTCGGGGAGGGGGAAATGAATTAAACTGCCAGCAAAAGAGAGATCTTGAACTTGGAGTCCCCAGCTTCCCTTTTTCTTTCTTTTTCTTTTTTTTTTTTTTTTTTAAGTCTTGGTTTTGACCGTCTCTCCCTCGCGCTGTTTGGTGGCGGCGGCGGATTCCCCGCGCTGGAGCTGATGGCTGTGCCGGTGAAAGGAGAGGGGGGGAGGGAAGCCATCACCACCGCGCCGGCCAGGGGACCAGGACGTGTCCCCTTGGCACACGAAGAGTCCTGCCAGCCCCGGCCGGGCTCGGGCTCGCTTGGAGCCAGGGTGGACGTGGTGTCTTGGGCTTTCCCTGCGTCTGCAGTCGCTGTTTGAGCCCAGCTTGGGTTTGCTGGGACGAGCAGACCCCAGATAGCCCAATCCCTCTGGAGGGATGAGGACATCTGGTCCAGACAGCAGCTGCTCCAAGCGCCAGCCCCGGCCGGGCTCGGGCTCGCTTGGAGCCAGGGTGGACGTGGTGTCTTGGGCTTTCCCTGCGTCTGCAGTCGCTGTTTGAGCCCAGCTTGGGTTTGCTGGGACGAGCAGACCCCAGATAGCCCAATCCCTCTGGAGGGATGAGGACATCTGGTCCAGACAGCAGCTGCTCCAAGCACACCCAGTAAACCACCTTCTCCCTCCCACCTACCCCTGGGACATCAGCGCAGCGGCGGCTCCAAAGCCACCCATCCCTTGACCGCGCACCTTTTCCTAGCAGAGCCCTCGCAATCCCCTTCTCCATGCGAGCCCCCCACTCTCTCCCCGCTTCCTCGGCCCACCCCGAGCTACGCGGGGAAGGGCTCAGGGATTTCTCCGCGGTGTTTGCTCCTGGGGATGCACCTTATCTCCACCACCCGCATCCAGACCCAGCTCTGAGGTTCTCATGGGGCGACTGTCTCCATCCCAGCCTTGGCCGTCTCCATCCCAGCCCTGGCCATCTCCATCCCAGCCCTGGCCATGCTCTCCGGGAGGCGATAATCGGGTAAGCTCTGAGGTTCTCAGGGGGCGGCTGTCTCCATCCCAGCCTTGGCCGTCTCCATCCCAGCCCTGGCCATCTCCATCCCAGCCCTGGCCATGCTCTCCGGGAGGTGATAATCGGGTTAGGGCAGCGCGAGCTCGGCGGCAGTGGCTCCCAAACCTCTGCGGGCCCCGTTGTTCCCGGCTGCCAGCCCCGGCCCTGACATATGGTCCTCATTGTGCCTCGCACAATGGAAACACTTCGTGCTAATTTAGATGCTGGTTCTGGCCTTGCTGTCATCTCCGACAGATTGGGTCCCTTGCCTGCTCTTTGTGCTTGCGGGCAGGCAGGGTAACAGGCAGCTTGGCCTCCTCGCTACCTCCCTGAGCGTCTTCCTAGACACTTCCCAACTCTTTCC